GAATAGAACGGACAGGCGTTGTATTCGAATATTACAGCTGTTCGAATAGAACCCGTGTGTGTTGTGTTCCAATAGAAAGCAACCTATGCGTTGCACTCGTTTACAAAAGGCAGTAGCCCCCGAGGGACACAAGGCAACAAGGCAGCAAGAGCTGAAGGCCACAAGGCAGTAGGGCAGCACAGCAAGCAGCAACCGACCAAAGCAGCCCTACTGCTTGCCTTGCCCTGCTGCCCTACTGCCCTCCTACTGCTTGCCTTGCCCTGCTGCCCTACTGCCCTCCTACTGCTTGCCTTGCCCTGCTGCCCTACTGCTTGCCTTGCCCATGGAAAGGCTAGAGGCAAGGTAGCAGAGTGGCAAGGCAAGGCAAGGCAAGCAGCAGGGCAAGGCAACCGACCAAAGCAGCAAGGGAACAAGGCAACAAGGCAAGGCAAGGCTAGTGGCAAGGTAGCGAAGTAGCAAGGCAAGGCAAACAGCGGGACAGCACAGCGCACAGCAAGGGAACAAGGAGGCAACAAGGTAAGGCAAGTAGCGAAGTAGCAACTTGAAGGAAGGCAGGGCAAGGCATGGCAGGCTGCAGGGCAGCACAAAGAGCGGACAAAAGCAAACAAACATGATTGAGGAGGACACAGGGTGGAGGGCTTTCAGACCCGAGACCCCACTTGCGGAACTGCCCCTGGATCCCGGGGAACGGAAGTGGAAGCGGGGGAATACGATTGCCAGAAGAGAGGAAAGACCACAAAAAGAAGTGTTATTGTCCAACCTAAAGACAAAAACAGCATACAGGATGTTAAAGACCAGAAGATGCCTTCAGGACGTGGTGGAAGACAGGTGGCATCGCCAACTAAACATAGATAGGAGCTTGCTGAGACCTATCGGATGGTTTCAGGAGTACAAGTTAAGGCCAGCAAAAATCTCCTCGCTACAATGGCAAATAGCCCACCACTGCCTACCCACAAATGATTGGCTGATTGACCACACCCATTTGGAGCGGCAAGGCCGTGCCATGCCATGCCATGGTGTCGAAGGTGCATATCCAGTTTTCCCCCTCAAAAGAGGCCAGAGACTGTGGAACACATTTTTATGCAGTGCCCGTCATCAGTGCTGCTTTGGCGATAGTGGGACAGGATCTGGCGGCAGATGTTTCCAGAACTACCGTGGCCATGGGATTGGAGGGCAATACTGTTGGAACATTGCCCAAGCATTCCAAAAGGTGAGGGGGCTTGGAACCTCTTTCGGCTGGGTAGAAGATCCATACTTTGGGTAATCTCGTGGAGGAGGTGCATCTTGGAAATGGAGGGAGCCAGGGTGGAGGAGGGGGAGGTCACAGAGCAGTTAAAACAGCTGGTGCAACACCGGTGGAGTTGTGCTTTTCAAAAAAAAAAAAAAAAAAAAAAAAAACCCGAGATTACCGTTTGCTGACAGGCCGCGAAGGAAAGACTGGACAGTGTACATTTTAGAAAAGATGTGGATCGAATCATTTCTCGCTTCGGCGAAGACAGGCTGGGAGGAAAGAGGGGGGGCTGGATAGCTACGGTGACATGGTCAGGGGATGAACAGACGAACCAGCAAACGACAAAGGAGGAGCATCCGCAGGAGATGACGCGGGTCTACAGACTACATTTTCATGATTGGGCTTGCTATCGACCCTGGGATCCCTCGTAGCCCTCCACATGACTTCGGGGACCCTTTCGCTCCCCACCCGCTCTCAGTGGTTGAGATTTTGCAAGGAGAAAACTAGCCAAAATAGCAGCCTCATGGCTGAGTATCGGTCTGAGATCCGGTGAGATCCGGTGCACTACTTTCTCAAACTTTCCAACTTACAAACTTCCATCAGAAGGGATGCTGAGCTACAGTCTTCCCCCGAATACAACGCACGGTCATTATCGCCGAATTTGGTCTATCTTTCAGTCCAAATTCAGCTATAATGACCGTATGTTGTATTCGAGGGAAGACTGTAGGCCCCACAGGACAAGGTAGGCTGGGTGCGAAATGGACAGGGAGACGCATGGTCCCGCTGGTGCCCCCCAGTGGCTCCATGGTGTCTCCAGGCCAGGGTAGCTGGACCTAGTGACCGGCTGTGGATGTTTGCCTTCTTTTGTTAGATGCTTTCACAACCTGCTCAGTCAATCCTCTGGAACCCAGAGCAATCAATGCTGGAAGGCGTCTTCCAGTCTCTGATTTTTTCTGATGCTCTGGTATTTTTTTCTGAATCATTCTGCATAAGGGACGCTGGACCCGTTTTCCAGCAGGTGACGCTCACCACCAATAGATGGAGCCTCTCCCCAGAGGCTAGCGGTGTCTGCTCTTATCAGAACCACTAGCACTGGTGGGACTGTTAAAAAAAAAAAAAGAAAAAAAAAAGCAGCAGCAAGCAAACAAGGTAGCGGACGGCAAGGCGAGCAGCCAGGCAGGCGGGTGGGCGAGCGGGACACTAAAGCAGCAGCTCAGGAACCGATGGACGCAGCAGCAAGGAACAAAATGGACTATCGCTTTTCTCACATCAAATGAAAAACCCAGCAGACTGTAGGTTCATGACGCCATCAAGAGCCAGGAAGCCACCCCGCAGATGGAGATTATCAGGGGGAAACAAAGAGACGCAGGCACCAAAAGCAAAGCCGCCCCCTTAACTACCATAGTGTCGTAGGGGCACTGAATACAAACACGCACCAACCATTTGACACAAACGGGGAAAGGGCAAACTCCATAGAAAGAGAGGAAGGAGAGAGATAGTATGAGAGGAAGTGAAGTCCTCTCTTAGAAAGAACATAGCGCAGGTGGCGTCTCAGCAGGATGCATCTCCCACCCTCTCCTCTTTATTGGCCGAAAAAAGCCGCAAAGACAATGCCTCTATAGCTACAACAACAAGGGAGCTGTCTGTTCTCTTTTTTCTCTTTCCTTTTTTACAAGGAGGATGTCTTACAACCGTTCCCTTTGGGGCTTTTGGGCCTCTTGCCACACCACTGTCAAAACAAAAGAAGTACGAGCGTGGAAGACAGGTATCATAGTTTCCAGCAGGTGCCGCTCCCCACCAATAGATGGAGCAGCCCAACAGGTAAGCCCTCAATTCAGACGGTTCTCTTACCACCGCCAGGATAGAGGGCTTATGCAAGGGCTTAAAAAAAAAAAAAAAAAAAAAAAAAAAAGACAGGTATCATAGAATGCACCCTGGTAAGAGGTGGTCGCACTGTCGAGCTATGAGCAGGATGTTTGGCATGAGAGTACGACTACCTTTTTGACGGAGAGGGATACACACACACACACACACACACACATGC